ATTCATCAATTCCAATATAATTAATATTATAAAATTTATATATTATCTCAATCATATTTACTAGCTATAATCATCCTCTTATATTGTGGATTAACTTTTATTTGGAGGATTGACCTGCATTTGATTGATCTGGAAAGTAAAATTGTAAATTTTAATTATTTGGAGAGTTTATTTACATAAAACCAATAAAGCTATGTTTAATAAATAAAAAAGTTTTGCAAACAACGATAAGAAAGAAAGTAGCCCACAAGTGTTGTCGCTCTCTTACCAAACAAACAAACAAGTCCGAGTCGACGTGTTTCATCCACCGGTATAACTATATCCTAAAATAAAATAATAAATCAACTTACCAAGATTTCACGTACCACACACAACCACGTCCTTCACCAACCAACGTTCCTCACGTGTTTCGCCGGTTGGTACTCACGTGACCGGCAGCTTCGTATCTCTCTTTTCTTAATACCAATCCTCAATCTATATATAATGTCTTCATATCACAGAGATTACCACAATAAAATCTTTCTCAAAACACAATAATCTTCGTAAAACACACAAAAAATGGTTGTTCAGAAAGAGACCGTGTGTGTAACCGGTGCGTCTGGATTCATCGGTTCATGGCTAGTTATGCGATTACTCGAACGTGGTTACGTTGTTCGTGCCACCGTACGAGACCCCGGTACATATATATAACTCGTTTCTCCTAGGATTACATGTAAATGTAACATTTGTGTGGTTAAATTAAATTTACGTGTTTTTGTTGGCTCATAAAGGAAATTTGAAGAAAGTGCAACATCTTCTTGATTTACCAAACGCCAAGACGCAACTCACTTTATGGAAGGCTGACTTGTCCGACGAAGGAAGCTACGATGACGCTATAAACGGATGCGACGGTGTTTTCCACGTGGCAACTCCCATGGATTTTGAATCAAAGGATCCTGAGGTGATATTCAGTCATTTCACGCTAAGATTTAACCCTAACAAACAAAAATTATTAGGGTTTTCATATTAACCCTAAAAGATCTGAAAAATGAGTTTTTTTTGTTTGAATCAGAATGAAGTGATAAAACCGACGGTGAATGGAATATTGGGGATAATGAAAGCATGTGCTAAGGCAAAGACCGTACGAAGAATCATATTTACTTCATCTGCCGGAACTGTAAATGTCGAAGAACATCAAAAGAATGTCTATGATGAAAACGATTGGAGTGATCTTGACTTTGTCATCTCTAAGAAGATGACAGGATGGG